TGTGTAGTTAATGCTGCTCAATGTGAAAGCACGCAGGTGATGGAGATTTACCGCTGATTACAGAACCGGCTTTTCTGACAAGATGCGCGTTAAATATCGCATGCGATTTATCGTGCAGTCCTAATATATATATATATATATATATATATAAATCAACACTTTCTAGTTTTCACTGGCATGTCTCTTTGACTTGTGCATCTTTGAGTCTATATTTAATATAAGTAAAATACTTAAGTACTGTTAAAATCAGATACTCTTAAGACTTTTACTCGAGTTGTTTTGGAGTAATTTTCTCTGTAAGGTACTTTTACTCAAGTATGGTTTTCAGGTAATCTTTACACCTCTGGAAAGGGGCATTCCAGTGAACACAACAACACATTGTGCGCCAAGACCCTCTTTCTCTCTCTCTTTTGTGTGCGAGTGTGGGAATTACGCTGTTATTTTCAGTCGGTCCCACCTGACATAGCGTCCCTGAGAGATAGAATCTTGGTTCATTGTTTTTTGCTTTGATTTAGTTTTTTCTTTCTTAATAGGACATTGTGTCTAATTTAGAGTAAGTAGAAATACTTCACCTCGTTCGGGTTGAGTCTGCAGATTTTGCTTTTTCAAACTCGTCCAAATATGCCAAAGGCAAACGTTCTCAGGTGTTTCTCCGATGTGTTTGACATGCTTGTTTCAAAGTGCTTTTCCGCCGTTTCACGATGTCACGTTGACTCAGCGTTGTGCATGGATTCGTAATAGGTCTGTCACTTAGCACGTTGTGTAACCGTCTGTCCATGTTAATGTCTCAAAGAACAGTTTCTGTAATGAGACAGAAGACCCTTAAAGTCACGGCCGTGTTTTTGTGTTGCCTCCAGCGGCCTTCTGCTTCTTTTTCTGCAAGTATTGAGTCTAATAGTAGAGGCTGTGTACCATCTGTGTGTGTGTATGAGTGCTATTTTGACTACTGCCTCAAGGATTCTGGATCGAAGCGCTTGTTAGCTAGACACTATGGTATTTCTTACAGCTTATTCAGAATCGGAGGTGGTTGAGAGATAAATAGAAATTGCATACAAACTAAAATCCAGAGTTAGTCTGCATAAAGGCCTACAGTCTTGGAAACACATCGTTCCCTTGGCTTAATGTCATTTAATAGACAGCAGAAGTAATGCAACCCCTTATTAATTGAGATAAGATGTGGTGAAACATGCCCTCAACTTACTCTCGCCAAACGTTGGCTTAGATTGCATGGAAGTGGCAAGACTTTCAAGTGTGTTTTGTGTCTGACCTCTAGGGTTTACCTTCCCAGACTGGGCCTACAAGCCGGAATCAAGTCCTGGTTCCAGACAGATCCAGCTCTGGCACTTCATCCTCGAGCTGCTGCGGAAGGAGGAGTACCACGATGTCATCGCCTGGCAGGGGGATTACGGTGAATTCGTCATTAAAGACCCGGAGGAGGTGGCACGACTGTGGGGCGCCCGCAAGTGCAAGCCCCAGATGAATTATGACAAGCTCAGCCGAGCACTCAGGTGAAGACTAAATCTGCTTATAAAATCCCATCGCAATGGACAATAACATTGTGTATTAGAAGGACCTCTGCCGCTTTAAATACTCGCGCTTTAAAGTCAGATGGATTCTGATTGGCTGTCAGTCAAGTAATTCCAATAATATATCTGTTTCTCATTATCATTATAGCGGTGATGTGGATGCCGCTGTTGTCATTGAATTAGAATGATTACTAACACATTAGTTATATAGTTAGCATTGTAGTCGTCCTTGGTGTGAATGGGCCTTATCACTTTTGGTAACATGACAACTTAAGATAGCACGCTAGCTTAGCAAGAAGCTGACACACTATGCCAGTAGATAGTAGATATATACTGCATATTCAATCATGTCATCATTCAGTTGTGCTTAGAGTGTCAACTTGACATGCTAGCATAAATGTAGAACGTTAGCTTAACAAAATGCTAACAACCAGACTGATGATGCATATTTATGCTAACATAAAATAGCATCATAGATTAGCAACTTGACAACATCAGATTATTGACATCAACTGTGAATTTTAGTCAAGTCTCTCTTGTGGTTCATTTTAGTGTTTGTGTGGTAACCATTAGCTGAGTTGCTTCCCATGAAGAGCAGTTCATCTCTCTCACTTTAGTCCATTTCAACTTGCTAGAGTTTGGAATAAAGCTAATGAATTTTGTACAAAATCAGCATTTTGTAGCTGTAAACTAAAGCTTCCAGCTCAAGGTAAAGTAGGCTAATAATGCTGCCAGTTTTATCTTTGCTCAGTCTAGAGCGCTTTGTTTCTCTGATGATTTTATGTGCTCTTGTTCTATTTACTGACTTTGTGTTGATCAACATTTTATGTCTTTCTGTGTTAGTGTTCCTCCCAGTATACCATGCCTTTTCCTTTTTCTGTCCTCGTCTGTCATCCGCAATCTGCCTGTTTGTCTGTCTCTTCGTGTTATTCAACACTTTGGACCGGTCACCATGGCAACCTGCAGATGCCCACTCAAACCTTCTGAACCTGCCTTCACCATCCCAGAATAATCAAGCCCACTTAGCGCTCATCAACCATCACTTACAGGACTAGTGTGCGTCCTGTACTTCCGAGAACTCTTTTCATTTCTCAAAGAGAAATATGGACATATGAATGAAAGAGGAAGGGAGGGGGAAGAAGAAAGGCAACAGAAAGCTGTGTACAGTTCAGATGTGAACCAGAAAGTTCTTCAGTGTCACAGCAGAGATCGCGGAGGGAATTTGCCTCTGTTCAACACATGTGGAGGACACAAAACATGTCCTCTAAGTTAACTCTGAAAAATATGCACACGCACACATACATTCTACTGTGACCTCACATTGACTTATTCAAGCTCTGTTCAAAGGGTTAGTTCACCCAAAAATTAAAATTCTGTCATTAATTACTCACCCTCATGTCGTTCCACACCCCTAAGACTTTCGTTCATCTTCAGAACACAAATTAAGATATTTTTGATCAAATCTGATGGCTCAGAGAGGCCTCCATTGACAGCAACGCCACCCAAACTCTCAAGATCCATAAAGGTACTAAAGACGTCGTTAAAACAGTCGACGTGACTACAGTGGTTTTACAATAATTTTATGAAGCGACGAGAATACTTTTTGTGTGCAAAAACAAAACAATAAACGAATAAATTACAGAACGTTTAGGAAACACTGAGGAATCAAATACATAAATAAAAGAGAGCCTCCATAGCTTAAGGTAAACAGCAAAGATAAGTTTTTCAAAAATGAAAACAAAAAGAAAAGTCAAACTAACGGTGACAGTGCTTGCATGTTTTTCCCCCCACAAGAATACCAGCATGTTCACCTTCTCTGGTTTAAGAAGCGGTCTTTTACTTGACTTTCGCTTGAAAACCATCCATCGTTTCCTCAATATATGCGTCATTTTTGCTGCGCGCAGCTTCGCGCTCGTGCTGACGCTCATATGCAACAGAAATTGCAGCGCTTATGGCGCTTTTGACGCGGTGGTCGCGCCAGTGCGACCGCACACAAAACTTAGTCGCACAGGCAGAAAAAATGGAAAAAATGGTGAGCCCTGCATATTAAAGTTCATAAGTGCAGCGCTGCTTTGTTTACAGCGGAAACCAAGGAAACGCTTTAAGCGCCACCTGCTGGCAGAGAGTGCATCTGCGTCTCGTTCAACTCGTCTGCTGTTTCTGTTTCATGCAGATATTTTTTATGCATAGTTTCACAAAACTGAAGTCAAACCATTCTGTTTTTGCTTCAAATTTCGAAATTATACAATGTAATTTAGATTAAAAACTGCTCATGTTGCATGTATGCAGCATCTTTGTTTGGATCATGATTAAAATGCAGTGGTTGCCTCTAATTTTAAATGGAAAGAGCAGAGGCAAAGCCTTATTTTGTTTATATGAAGAGATTTATTTTATTTCTGTTACTTATTTATTTGATTTGGGGCTTGTTTTAAAATTTCAATGTAGTTTTGTTATCTACATTTACATTATATTTAAATTTTATTTAGCAGACGCTTTTATCCAAAGCGACTTACAAATGAAGACAACAGAAGCAATCAAAACCAACAAAAGAGCAATAATATGCAAGTGCTATATTAGTATATTATTATAGTGTTATATTTAAATTTCACAAAGAAACGTACAGTATTTTGTCAAAGCAAAATAATAAAAGGACACATTTAATTGATAATTTGTCTTAAATGTCATTGTCTTAAAACTCAAAAATCGTGAATCGAATCGAATCGTATCGTGAATTGAGTGAACCGTTACATCCCTACAAAGTACAGT